TTTTAGTTTTTAATAGTTTAATAGATTTAGTTAATATTTTCAATTTGGTAACTTCAGGTCACATGCAGATGACTTACTGAAACTTGATGATTCATGCACATCCTATGCAAATATGCTGAGCAGTGCATGCTGATATTTCAGTTTGTTTAGTTTCAGTTCTTGTTTTAGTGTGTTTGGCAAGAGATATATTTTATTGTGAAATAAAAAAATAATTACAGTTCTTATAGTATTTGAGAATAGGTCTCTAATTGTTTTCAGCAGTTATAGTGTAATACAAATATAGTAAATAAAACCTGCAAAGCTAATTCAGACAGACACGTAAAGGTGTGCTTCCACAATTACATGTGACACATTCTACAAGCTGCAATATCCAACAGAGCCTTTGTAATAAGTCAGTGTATAGCTGTCAAAAGCCCTGCTTAAACTCCTGGTGTTCTGGTGCTGCTACTTTCCGGCTCAGTTTGCAACTAGTGCTGCCACAGTTACTGCTGCCGCACTCCTGCATTTCATCAACAATTAGTGGCTGACCCAGAAATAGCACAGCAGTGGTAGTGTAACAGTCATTCTGCATGGATACTGACACAAAGAAATCCCACATAATATACTGCAGCTGATGTTTGGTTCTGGATCTAAAGCGGCTTTTGGATTTCAAAGCAACATTATTTAAACAGCTTGAAAACATTTCAAATTTTGAATTAAAACCATAGTATTTCACCACAACATTGCATATTTATGACTAAGCAACAGTAATAGTAAAAAGAAAAATCTATGCAGTTTGTGTTGTTGATTCAAACATATTTCATTGACACGCATTACACACCCAACAAAGGACATCAAGTTCTGTTTTTGTATGTTGCTAAATTCTAATTGGTGCGAATAAGTGCATGAGAAAACCTTTTCCAAACTGAGCCCCGCCCATTTAAAACCAGCGGAGAAAAACAAAAAGCAAAAGAGAAATCTATCATGGCAAACCGGATCCCAATTGCTCATATGAGAAGCTGACTGCCAAAATACATACTTAGGACCTTTCAAACCTTTGCAGAGTAATGAGAGGTCATTTCTCAAAATATCAACTCTGCAGATACTCTGCGTGTCACGGGACATAATGAGGACACAAGTGCAGACAGTCAGGTGAAGTGAAAAAAGGGTTTAATGAACAAACCAAAAACACACATTTAAGAGACGAGGGGGAAAATCCGGCAGGACAAGGCAGAACAGGCAGACTGGGAAACCGGGAGCAGGACGAGCAAAACGGGCAGGTAGGTAGAAAACAAACAATGACCTGGCAGTGAGTGAGTGAGAGACAGGGGTTTAAGAAGTGACTAGAACAGGTGAGGAGAATTGTGCTGATGAGGGAGTGCTTGATTACTGATAAGGGACAGGTGAAGGGAGTTGGACTGGTGCTGAGGGAGTGGCTGAGTTGAAGAGTGAGGAGCTACAGAAAAACACACACAAAACACACAAGGCAAAGCCTGATAGTGACAGTGCATGTACATTACTGTTCATATAATATACAAGTGAGAAGACTGACATTCAGCGAGAAGTAAAAAAATCTCCCTCATTTTTACACAACATAAAAACCAAGACAATGTTGATTTTGAGTGAACCACATAGTAAGTGTAGTGAGTTTTTCTATTTTTAGTTTTTATTCAAAGGACATTCACACCAACACATGTGTTTTCAACTGCTCTGGTTGATTAGACCTGTGAAGTTGGGTGATGCCATAGAGTTGAAAAGTGGAAGGGGCCACTTGTGCAAGTCTTCAGCATTATAAGAAACATGGAACCCTTATGAATAATGTAACAAATACGCCAGACCACCAGTCTGAATTATTTCAGCTTCTGAAAAATCATATCCAGACGTTACAACACCTGGAGCGATTTTGGCCGATCCAAACTCAGTGCTCCAATTGCCAGTCACAGAACATTGTCTATAGAAAAAATGGGGCCTTTACTTCCGAGCGCCCAAAATAGCTCCTTCCAGTCCTTCAACTCTATGCAAGAACTTGTTATCATCAATATGTGCTTATAAGTACGACAATGGGGTATTTTTCCCTGCCCTAACAGTTGCAACGAAACTAACAGGAGAGAGAGGAAGATGTAATTTAAGCCTCCACACACACAAACATCCACACAGTTCTGAGAAGGAGTTTAATCAAGCAACATGTGACAACACCTGTGTGGGTTGACTACGGGTGTGAAGGCGCTTTAAGCTCCACGTTATTTTAGTCTTTGGGGACGAAATAATAGACAGACAACTGTGTACACTAAATGGCGTAAACTAAATACACACAAGAGTCTCATATCTTCAGGGTCCCTGCAATATTGTGTGCATCAGTGTTACCACAGAACTGCTGCTTGCTCATTCAGTCAGGTTTTTACAACCACTCTGATTAGAGCCCCCATAAAGCTGAGACCATGTCCTAATGCTGCTCTGAATTGTAGGAGACAGAAAGAGAGACAGGAGAGTGCTGCGTATGAGGAAGAGAGAAAGTGAGGCTATGGGTGTGTGTGTGTGTGTGTGTGTGTGTGTGTGTGTGTGTGTGTGTGTGTAGAGTGAAGCGTGTTACAAGGAAAGATTGGATCTGACCCATTAACTTTACAGGCCGCTCATTGAGCACTAGTGCAGCAGGGGTCAGTAGGGAGATTTCACTGTAAATCTCTACAACGATCTCAACAATAAACCAACGAGAGAGAGAGAGAGAGAGAGAGAGAGAGAGAGAGAGAGAGAGAAGGGGT